ATCATCAATGGGAAGATTCAAGTAACCAATACAAATATAACATTTCATTTTGAATTCTATCTCCAAGGTGATCTGATACAGGAATGTTCAAACTGTATTAGATTATATATATGATTAGCACATATCGGTAATTACCCTTTATAAGCTATATATATATTGTAATTTAGGACTGCAATCGATCAGTTTCTTGTTGACATATGTGCATCCTGTGCGGATTGCCTTCATATTGCCTTAATTCACAAGCTTTATATGTAAAGATGGCTAGTGGATAGAAGTAGAGTCGAGGATACACATTTCGTCCTATTTGGGACTCGTCAACTGAATGTACCTGTACCCTAGAGATAATGTCCATTCCAGGACTCGAATCCAGTAGCATTCGCTTGAAACTCTATTGCGTTATCCACTTAGCTACTGTATATAACTGTAATATCTTAATGACTGACTGGTTGACTAAATAAGCAGAACAATAAATGTTTAACTTTTAAATACCTTTTTAAGTGAGAAGATAGTTAACATCACAGACGGGATTTCAACAAACAAACCAAAGAAAAATAAGCGATCAGTAATGAACTGTATTATCCTATTTATGAAACTCCTTGATATTGTGAACTTAAAACTCTACCAAGGACTAAACCCAATACTTCCTGACCAAGTTATGATCTTTATACGTAGCTTTTTCTACTACCACGAATACTGTTACTACTTATACTACTCTGACATTTCTCATGCTAAGTTCATTTTTCCTTATTGATATAGCGTGCAACTTGAACTAATGCTCATATTCATCAGGTTCTATGTTGCACAAATTAACATCCAATAATTCACAACAAACTTCACATTCAGTTGAATGTATCTTGTTCAAAGAATAAACGACTTTAATTTCAAGTTAAAACGAGTTTTCACAATAGACCGTATAAGTCTAAACGTACAATGCTCAAATACAATTTTGTTGAATACTATTTTTATGTTGTTGAGGTCGAAAATTATTTCATATATATTTAGCATACACAGTCAAGAGTTCTAGTAAGACTCCGTGTCGGGTAGAGACAGGTATCTACCTCAATACAATGGAAGATGGTCGCACAACTTCGTAGATTGGTTGAGGTTAAATATTAACATCGTTGGACCTCGGCCAGTTCGGTGGTTTAGTAGGTTAGGCGTTCACGCGAGAGACTGAAGGCCCTATGTTGGAATCCCGTGAATGGGATGGTGGATGTGCACTGTTGAGGAGTCCCACAATAGTACGAAAAGGCCGTCCAGTACGTCCAGGTTTTCAATGGTGGTCTAACATCGGTCAGTTCATGATCTCAATCAAAAACAGTCAAGTGTGTACATAGATTCTAAGCAAACACGAAATTAACATTATGACCCCATGAATATATATATTCATAATCAATTTACAACCTGATACACATATACGTTGACTTGAGTTGCCATACAACATTCACACAACGAAATGAATGTAAGAATTTGGTGTAGTAAAGTTATCAAAATAATGTAACAACAGTGACAATAAGAAAAATCGGTTAATAGAGATTGAATATACGTAGCATATGCTCTGACCACTTCATCAACCTACTCCTCATCCACATCTACTACCCTATACTCAACATCGAAATTACTCGATTCATGTGTTGTGACTTTAAGTCGGGCTAGTTATCGCGTAATTTATTCGACAATCGAAGTATGATTTATTCACTCTTGTACTGTATTAAACCAATGACGTTCGACCGGTCTGATCAGCCTAGTGTCCTTATTGGCCCTTTGTTCGCCTAGCCTATCCAGTTGAGTCCAGAACACCAATAACAGCTTCCACTATGTGAATCATTTATTTCAGACAATAATTGGTTTATATACCAGCTAAACAAACTGCATCGCATCATAAAATTCGAAATAACATTTATACAAATATAAAGTCAAAAGTGGCCGTGAACGTAGGAGACTGTAATCAGTAAACTGAACAAAAGAACAGTAGATTGTACAATAATAATTTATAGGTCAAAATGAAGCTTATAATAAGATGAATAGTTATACAATAGGAATATATATCTAATATTAGTCCATTAACAGGTCTCAGACGTTACTCGTAATTTAATCTTCACTAGGATATAACACCATGGATCTATGATTCACAAGTATTGCTTATAGAACATCATTATCTTCTACTTTCATTCTTAACTCCATGAGGAAGAAAACATAACAACAAACAAATTCATTCTATTGGTTCTATACAAGTTAACATTAGGATAACTATTTTAGTTAGACAATTAAATTTGTTAAAAACTTAGTCTTTCCTGTTAGTAACGGCTGTATACTTATAAAATATCATTAATCTATCCCTAACATCTCAATAGAAGCTGTTGTTTGTTTTGTAACATGACGAAATTACTTACTTATGCCTGTTACTCCCAATGGAGAATAGGCTGCCGATCAGTATTCTCCAAAAAAACTCTGTCCTAGGCCTTCCTTTCTAGTTCCATCCAATTGTTGTTCATTCTTTTCATGTCTGTTTTCATTTCTCGATGTAATGTGTTTTTCAGTTTTCCTGTTCTCTTTTTGGTCTTAAGGATTTCAAGTGAAGGTTGTCGACATTACTTATTTGGAATTATTATAATCCTACGATAATATAATCTAGAATTTGATGTCAGATGGTGGTTGGAGATAGTCTATAGGAAGGGTTTCATGTTGACTACCTCCAACCATCATCTAATCTCAATATATAGTGCACGCAATGTCGAGTCACTTAGACTGGTGGCCACATTGCAACATGGTCCATAGCATTCGATCTGCACGAAATAAGGACTTGGCACACATGATATTGATCACCACCCAGTGATTAATCAATTGTGTGAATTTGATATCATTAACCCTTTAACCTATCAAGAAAACTAAATCATTACAATTTTGATTATTTATTGACTTATATTCAGTGAAACAAAACTATACCTTAATATTGAATCCTTTCATTTCAATATAATTCCTGAACAATCAGAATGATCAATATACATCAGTCAGTTAGTCAGTCAGTCAGCTACAACGTACGATCAAGCACATATATGCATCGGTTCAAGTTGCCATACCGCATTAGCACAGCAAGATGAACACCGGATTCATAGAAGTCGTTAACTCAATGGTGATAATATATAAAAGAAAGATTGCATATAAGAATATAATACAGGAAGAAACGATTAGTTGATAGAAAGAAAGATATGAAGCGATTCTAATCTCTTAGTTTAAGGGAAGACAGATAGTGTATACACTGACGCCATTGTGATCGATTCTGAGCCATGTCACCAAGAGTCTCCAACCATTGGTTACGATTAAATAGCTATAGATGACCAGATAAATACTAAATAGTTCTTTTATCATCTTAGTATGAAACTCGTCAATAATTCACATCAACCATCTCATTAGACATAAAATCCAGGACGTTCAAGACTGATAGTTACATTCAAATAAATGAATTAACATCCAACTGACATGATAATGATTATGTCTAATGTTATAAGTATTACTAATTCCCATATAAGTAATTTAGGACCTTAGACGATAAAATAAACTGATTTACTTTTAGAATGGGAGGGTTATGGAGATCCTAGTAATTTTAATAGTCGAATTCATGAGTCAATCTAAGGTAGACCACCATAAAAAAAACTTAGATGTCTGTTTCGTCTTAATATGGGACTCGTCAACTGTGCACATCCACAATCATGCACGTGAGACTTAAACAAAGGAACTTCAGTCTCGTGCGCGAATGCTTAACCTCCAGAACACTAAGCCAGCATCCAACAGTGTTAATGTGTAACTTCAATCGATCCATAATCTTGAGCAACCATTCATCCATTATCTGATTTAGATACTTGTCTCTATCCAACAGGGATTGAACCCTACTGCTCACGGCTTCTCACTAAAACTCCAAGAAATCCATCTTGAAGTCAGTCATTAGTGAACACACAATGACTATGATAAGGATGGAGTTTGTAGAGATTATAATGATTTTAGTAGTTGAATTCATGAATCTATCTAAGATAATAAGTTAATAAACATCTCAAATACCCACATGGAAAAAATTATTTAATGGTTCAATTCATGAGTCAATTTAAATTAGACCATCATGGAAAACCTGGAAGTACTGGATGGCCATTTCGTCCTTTTGTAAGACTCTCCACCCATAATCCAGCTCTGGGAGATTCGAACCCAAGACCTGTCAATCTTGCATGCGAGCGCTTAACCCCTAAACCACTAAGGCTAAAACTGATCCTAGGAGCGGAATTCAAATGACTGAATGAAATGATCATTCAATACTTCCAAGTATTCCATTGATGGCCTAGCTTCGATTGACTCATGATCTCATTTATTAAAATCATTACTATAATATTCATAAAAATAACCCCTTCTTATATTTAGAAATAAACCTATACTTTAAATGTTTATTTCATTACAATACAAATGACAATATCAACTCAATAATAATCATAATAATTAGATCTTAATCACTATACTACTCATTTTGTTTATTGTAACAAACAGTAATAACCATATTCCATTAGAATTCTATTACCTTCATAGACATGATTCATTAGATCCAAGATCATATTCCATAATTAGATCATTGATTGATTCATTGTTGAAATATCATTCGATTCCTGTCATATTCAATAATCATCAATATCTTCCATGTTTATTTATTGATTCATTGAAACATGACAACCACAACCACCCCCACCACCACCACAACAACAACAGCAACAAAAAGAAACAAAAATGTCAATTCAAATGTTAAAGAGAAAAACAAAAAGAAAAAAGAGCAACAATAAAAAAATCAATAAACAAACAAACAAACAAAATAACTGTACATCAGTTTTTGATTAAGATCATGAACCGATTAATGTTAGACCACCACCTATGGAAACCTGGAAGCACTGGAAGATGATCTAACATCAATTGGTTCATGATCTCAATCAAAAAAAAAAACAAAAAACATCTTAATCATCCATAGAATTTTATTGTCCATTTGATATAATTGTCTCTTTATTCATAGTACGTTGATGTTGTTTCATTTCAGTAACACAAAATGTACATACTGATCTATTATTATAACGTTTATTAGAATTAAACATGATTTGAGTTTTATCGATCAAATTCTCATGAATAGGATTAGGAGTAGTAGTAGTAGTCGTATTAGTACTACTAATATCATTATGAGTAGTTTCTAAATGATAAATTTGTTGATGTTTTAAACATGGTTGATCTGCTGGTCGTGAACCAGTGATCAATATAGCATGTAAATGAGATATATAAGATGATGCTAAACGTAATGTTTCAATTTTTGATAATTTTCTATTCATTGGTTCTGTTGGAATTAAATTACGTAACATAAGAAATGCATCATTTACACTAGCTGTACGTGTACGTTCACGTTCATTAGCAACACGTTTTATAGGAGGTTGATATTGTGATAATGAAGACGAAGATGATGGGGATGATGATATTGGTATATGCTCAATAGTATTATCACTACTACTATTAGTAGTAGTAGAAGTAGTAGTATCATGTATTGTTGAACATTGATTGAAATGATCTGTTAAACAATAAGATAGATTCTTTTGTTTATCATTATAATGTTGTGTATAATTTGTTAATAAATAATCTTGATTACTCCAATTACGTTTACCATATGAATTCACAGACATTTTCATAAATAAGTAGTATCTTCCTTTATTTATGAATTATTCATTCAAATGAAATAGATAGATAGATAGATAGATAGATGGGCTAACTTATAGAATAGTGGCCTATTTTTTCTCTACATTTTATATACAACTTATGACTTGCACATTTACATTGATAGGATAAATAGGATAAGGAATACATTGTGCACCAATATATGTGATTTTGCACATATATATATATATGTGTGTGTTTAATGCACACAATCATTTTCATTGGTTTAATTGTTACTATGCTGATGCGCTGTTTTTTGTTTTGTTTTATGGCTCTTACATATTGATGATCGCATGATGTTAACCAATCGGTTGTTTTTTTCATATTCCCTTCTCTCACTTTTCTTTTTGTATAACAACAATATGTATTTTGTAAATATATTAAAGTACTTAACAAATGAGAGATGGGGGGAAATGTAAATAATGTGGAGATTTACATTCAATAACTGGTTCATTTTATATTGGAGTGAATCGATATCAGTATAGATTATTACAGTTTTTAAATTTGTTAATAGTTGCTTAGATCACAGGGTGATCTCTAAACAAGCTTAAAGAACCAGTATAGTACTACACAGCAATATACAACACCATCTAATCTCACAATAGTGCACGCGGTGTCGAGTCATCTAGACTGGTGGCCACATTGTAACATGGTCGATAGCATTCGATCTGCACTAATAAGGACTAGACAAGCATGATATTGATCACCACCCAGTGATCAATTAATTGTGATTACATTTCAGTCCTACAGGTGGTCAGTCGCGGCTCGGATAGCTCAGTGGTAACGTCTCTGACTGTGAAGCTGGGTGACACGAGGTCGAGTCCGTCAGGAAGCACCAGTTCTCTCAAGATTACAGGGACACCTTTCTGACGAGTGTCAAGTCCAGTGTTTCCTGTTGACTACCTCCAACCACCATCTAACAGTCAAGAGGTGTCTGTGTATGACATAAATCTCTCATTGTTGTTGGTAATCAATGATATGGTATTTTTGCAATCTTTAAAGGATTAATATCACCTCTAGGAAGAAAGCTAATGTTGTCATCTGATGTTACACTTAGAGATGGTTTGTTCTGTGTTTATTCTTTACTTTATAAAGGAATATAATCCAGTGGTTATAAGCAGAAAAAATTGACTTCTTCAAAACAAAATCATCTGAAAGTGGAGTTTTATGGAATTCTAATGAATAATATTAAAAACAGTTAACAGATTAAATAAATGGGTTTTGTGAAGATTAGTGAAGATAAGTGACTTTCTTTATAGAACGATTTCATTTTAGGATACCCATAAAAGTCTCATAGCACTGGATTGTTGTTTCCTTCTGCTACAAGATCCCTCAATAGTGAATATCATAAGGTGTCGAACTCTGAATTTTTGTTTCTCGTAATAAACCTATGATCATTAGAACTACTAAATGGTACAGTTCTAGCCTCACCCAATTTGTACAACAATCATATATTGTCACTAGGGTCAACTGTTTCACTTTCATCATATTCAAACTCCGCTAGTTATGACTTCATAGTGGAACTTTAGGAGTATCTTGAATCAAACCAAATATTGACCTGAGTGTTGTGGTTTATTCGAAGGAGTTTTTTTGAAATTCATATAGCCCTGGTTAGACTATGTATGTTACCAAAATTAACGTATCAAGAAATAGTTTACGTCTATAAATGATTACATAAACATGCCATTAAACACTTGTTCAATATTCACTTGGTATTGTTTTGATTGAAACTTCTCATTGATGTTTAAGACTACAATTGATCAGTCTCTTATTGACACATTTGCATCCTGTTCAGATTGCCTCGATATAGCCTTAATTCATAAGCTTTATAAGCAAAGCTGGATAGTGATTAGTGGTGGAATCCTGTTTGACGCTTGTTTCGTCCTATTTGTGACTCATCAACTGAATGTACCTGCATTTCACAGTTGATGTTCATTCTGGGATTCGAACCCAGTACCATTTACTTCGAAAGTCATCTTGTCATCCATTCATTCATTCATTCATCAACGAATAGATACCCTTATTTTGGATTTGTTTTTTGTGTGTCTTGTCCTAACGATGTAGAACAATCCTATCTTTTAACTACATGAGTCCTGAATTCAAATTCACCCCATTACACAAGCAAGTGGCTATCAGGACTCAGTAGCTGAGTGGATAACGCGATGGCGTTTGAAGTGAATGTTACTGGGTTTGAGTCCCAGAATGAACATCAACTCTGAAATGCAGATACATCCAACTGATCAGTCCCCAAATATGCTGAAACGCGCGTCGAACTGGCTTCCACTACTAGCCACTATCCATCATTGCTTACAAATAGCTTGTGAATTAAGGCAATATCGAGGCATACGCACAGTATGCACATATGCCAATTACTGACTGATCAATTGCAGTGTTAAACCTCAATGGGAAGATACAAGCCAAACAATACCAAGTGAGGACATAACCAATGTCTATTAAATGAAATTAGCTAATGTATTGAATCATATATTAGCTTAATGGTGGTTATTAGTGTAGATTTGATATTGGATAGTAACTCAGCGGGCTATTTTAAACACAGTAGGTGATAAACTTCTTTCAACATATAATCTTTATTGACATTTCCAAGATTTAAAAAAGAAGTACTTCCTCTAAGAGACAATTGAACCGTCACGACGTACTGAATTGAACCTCAGAATTTCAAGTCTTCTGATGAACATAAAACCTCTTGATAGATGTGTTTTGTATTGAATCGTTAACAGTGTATGAACTACCCTTGTGTTTACAGAAAAAGAATATGCTATAAATCCATGAATAAAACACTTAAAAATTTTATCATGTTAAATTCAGCTTGTTTTCTCATCATAGAACGTAGTAACTAAAATGCACTTGTATGTGTGTGCGTGTGTATGTGTGTGTATTGATCATAGCAACTTATTTATTTTATTTCACACTAAGACACATTTTCCATTCCACAGCTTAGTTACTATACTTTTAATGTCAAAATCAATTTTTGTTAAAATTCTTATCGAGAATTTTTTTTTGTAAAAATAAAAATAGGGAGAAGGGAACCGAAAGGGAGGTGGTAATGAAAGACAGAGAGAGAGAGAGAGAGTATACACTAAAACACCACAGGGAGGCAATAAAATTCCATTTTAAACATTTCTCCGACTGATTTACACACGTATACACACAAACAAGCACACACACACACTCTCTCTCTCTCACACACACACACACACTCTCTACAACTGATTCTATCTGTTTCACTTAAAGTGGAATGGTGTGAATGTAGTTACACAGATAAATAATGTTGATAATAATAATGATAATCATCATCATAATTGGTAAGATGCATATAGAATATCGAAGAAAATGGGATAGAGGAAGGGAAAACTAGTACAACACTAATACAAACTGGAAAAGAATTGATTAATGACCAGTCGTCATTTTGTTCGATGAACCACATTTCATGATAAGAAGATGAACTATAAATAATTTTACAGATTTTATGTCTACTTATTTGACATTTACTTCATGAATGTCTCTCTCGCTTGCTCGCTTGCTCGCTTTCTCTATACCTTTCACATATAATCATTCATTCACTTACTAATACACATACATACATTTATATCCCGTTGTGTGTTTTATTACTTAGTTAGTTAGTTACCTTGCTTAAAGATTTAAATAATAATATTCATGTATCCAAGTAAGAAAATGGAATTTAGTTAATAACTAGGCAACTATATCTGTAACTAGTCAGAATCATCAATTGTCAAACTGTTCTTTAAAAAACAACAACAACAACAACAACAAGGGAATGAAAACTGTTCAATAAAGATATAAATATTTATGTGACAGACAGTTGGCATTCTATGGTAGAATGACTGTGGAGGGGGAGAGAGGAAAGATGAAAATAAGCTGGAAATATGTAGTATTCACTACTACTTATCAATGTTAGTATGTTATGTCGGTGTTCAGTCTAAAACAAAAGACTGACCAACTTATCTTATATGCTTTTATTAGGTATGTTAAATATGAACCATGGAAGGTAAATCTATATTTAAATTCATGTTGTACTATTTGGTTGAATCTTCCAATTGATTAGTCTGTTATTGGGATATGTGCATCTTGTGCAGATTGCCTCATTATTGCCTTAAATCACAAACATTATAAGTAAAGATGTATAGTGGTTAGTAATGGAATGCTGTTTGACGCTTGTTTCGTCCTATTTGAGGCTGATCAGCTGGATATAACTGTATCTCACAGTTGATGTTCACTCTGTATTTACAGAATCACATAGAACGGTGATTATTTACAACTGCGTGATATGACAAAAAGTTCTACTCAGTAGTCCACAAGTAAGGTGCTGGCCTCTCAGCCTTATTGTTCATGAGTCGAGTCTCCGAGAGGATAATAAGTGTACATTGTTGAAGAGTGCTATGCTAGAAAAAAAACTGATGCATAATACCTTCTGATACTTGTTGATTGTTTAACTAAAAAGTTTCCACAAACTTCAATCCTAATGATCATATCTGATATCTGGAGATAAATTTTATCTTAGAATGATATCAGCTAACGAAACTTTGACGAAAACTCTAACAACACTGGACAGTTGTTTACTCTTAGTTTTAAGCTCATTAAAACTAAACACAATCACTACACCACATTGGAATAAACATAATTTACCAAGTGTTGTATCAAGTATTATCTATAACACTGAACATGTATCCAGCAGTTTATGCACTTCGAATCGAAACAAGAATTTGATTCAATAATGAGATCTTTTTTCAATCGACATAATTCTCAGAATTTTTGATTGAAATCATGAATCGATTGATGTTAGACCATTGTTGAAAACGTGCAAGCACTGGATGACAGTTTCGTTCTAGTATGAGACTCCTCAGAATTGTTTATCCACGAAAATTGTGTGAATTACAAATTTTTTATGTTATTATTATGATTATTGTTACCATGACAACAATGACATGGAATTGAA